CAGCCTCTGCTCCCCACGAGTGTCCAGCCCTGCTCCGGGGCAGGCAGGGAGGGGACACGGGAGGGGACAGGGGAGGGGGGACACAGGAGGGGACAGGGGAGGGGGGACACGGGCTGCCCCTGCCAGCTCCCTGCCTCGGGCTCTGCATTTGCCACCTCTCCGAGCATCCTCCTGTCCCGGAGCCGCCGCTGGCGGCGATGGATGTGCTGGAGCACAGAGCATTCCCTCCTCACGGGGCATCCTCCTCCTCCTCCTCACGGGGCATCCTCCTCCTCCTCACAGAGCATCCTCCTCCTCCTCCTCACGGGGCCTCCTCCTCCTCCTCACGGGGCATCCTCCTCCTCCTCACAGAACATCCTCCTCCTCACAGGGCACCTTGCAAAGGGTCACAAAGCTGGAAAGGAAGCCCAGCTCTGGAAGCACAGCCCAGTTCTGGAAACAAACACAGCCCGGTTCTGGAAACACAGCCCGGTTCTGGAAACAAACACAGCCCGGTTCTGGAAACACAGCCCGGTTCTGGAAACAAACACAGCCCGGTTCTGGAAACACAGCCCGGTTCTGGAAACAAACACAGCCCGGTTCTGGAAACACAGCCCGGTTCTGGAAACAAACACAGCCCGGTTCTGGAAACACAGCCCGGTTCTGGAAACAAACACAGCCCGGTTCTGGAAACACAGCCCGGTTCTGGAAACAAACACAGCCCGGTTCTGGAAACACAGCCCGGTTCTGGAAACAAACACAGCCCGGTTCTGGAAACACAGCCCGGTTCTGGAAACAAACACAGCCCGGTTCTGGAAACACAGCCCGGTTCTGGAAACAAACACAGCCCGGTTCTGGAAACACAGCCCGGTTCTGGAAACAAACACAGCCCGGTTCTGGAAACACAGCCCGGTTCTGGAAACAAACACAGCCCGGTTCTGGAAACACAGCCCGGTTCTGGAAACAAACACAGCCCGGTTCTGGAAACACAGCCCGGTTCTGGAAGCACAGCCCAGTTCCTGAACTCCTGCCAGTCCACGGTGCAGCAATTTATTCTTTTAATAAAACCGTGTTTTTAGAACTTGCTTGCTCCTTCCTCGTGTGTTCTCATAAAATCTTAACCGGCTGCCTGGGAAGAATACAGAAAGGATGCAGGATGGAATTCCACTGCTGAGAATCAGCGGCTTCCCAAAATTATTCTGCCATGCAAAACAAGTGTGTTAGTGACAGAATTCCTTACAACTTCAACAAACACAAACAGCGTTGGGACTGCGGGGATCCATCACCCATTGGAACCAAACAAAAGGGAGCAAACTTTAATTACTGAGCCTGCAGAAATAACTCATCACAGACAGGACTCCTTGGTAAGGAGGGGTTTTCTCTCAAATCCCCACGCTGAGCAGTTTCTGTAGCAAAGCAGGTGCCCAGTGACATCCTTGGCAAACCTCCTCCATCAGTCCCTCGGGAAGGGACACGTGGGCACCGTGACTGGTGTTGGGGAGTGCTGCTCTGCACACCACAGGAGAATCCAAACACCCTAGTGCCACCCCTGGACAATCCCAGCACCCCTGGGCACCTTGGGACAATCCCAGCACCCCTGTGCCACCCTTGGGACAATCCCAGCACCCCTGTGCCACCCTTGGGACAATCCCAGCACCCCTGTGCCACCCTTGGGACAATCCCAGCACCCCTGTGCCACCCAGGCACCAGCAAAGCCCCTCGGGGGTCAGGGTGGCTCTGGGTGAGCAGGCTGGGGGTGTGTGTCCCCGGGACAGCCACGCTCCAGGACTGGCACAGGGAGGGAATGACCCTCACGGTGCCCCTGCAGCACCAGGGACATTCTGTGTGTCTGACCCAAACACACTGATTGCTCTGATACACCAATTAACCATTTCCAGTGAGGGAGCTGAACTTGGTGTTAGCACACAGAGGCTTTTCCTGGAAACCCTCAGCAGTCCAAGGAGCCTCTGCTCCTCATCCTCAGGCAAGACAACGAAACCCTGGAGTGAGAGCTGAGGCGGGGACCCAGCTCACCCTGAGCCCGACTCAGTCCCCGGTTTGTCCCCGGTCCCAGCGGGCAGCCCGGTCCATCCCCGGTGCTGTCACCTCCGGGCACAGCCCCGGGACAGCCCCGGGACAGCAATCACCCCCAGCCCCTCCAGGCACGGAAATGCTGCCTGAAAGCACGGCCGTGCTGTGCTGCCCGTATTCCGGCACTAACTCACACCGGGACACACCGGGACACAGCGGGGACACAGGGGGGACACACCGGGACACACCGGGACACAGCGGGACACAGCGGGGACACAGCGGGACACAGCGGGACACAGGGGGACACACCGGGACACACCGGGAACACAGCGGGAACACAGCGGGACACAGCGGGACACACCGGGAACACAGCGGGAACACACCGGGAACACAGCGGGACACAGGGGGACACAGGGGGACACACCGGGACACACCGGGACACACCGGGAACACAGCGGGACACAGGGGGACACACCGGGACACACCGGGACACACCGGGAACACAGCGGGAACACACCGGGACACAGCGGGACACACCGGGAACACAGCGGGAACACACCGGGAACACAGCGGGACACAGGGGGACACAGGGGGACACACCGGGACACACCGGGACACACCGGGAACACAGCGGGACACAGCGGGACACACACCGGGCTGTCCCGGGACACACACCGGGCTGTACTGGGGACACACACCGGGCTGTCCTGGGGACACACACCGGGCTGTACTGGGGACACACACCGGGCTGTACTGGGGACACACACCGGGCTGTACTGAGGACACACACCGGGCTGTCCCGGGACACCCACCGGGCTGTACTGGGGACACACACCGGGCTGTACTGGGGACACACACCGGGCTGTACTGGGGACACACACCGGGCTGTACTGGGGACACACACCGGGCTGTACTGGGGACACACACCGGGCTGTCCCGGGACACACACCGGGCTGTACTGGGGACACAAACCCGGCTGCCCTCGCACTCACGGGCCGGGTGTTTTGGAGCCCTCGCTGGCAGAGGGAGGCTGAAGCGGGAGGCTGAACCCGGAGCAGGGAGGGACAATCAACACGTGCTGGCCCCAGGGAGCCCCCGGCCATCCTGCCAGGAGAGCCCGGGAGCTACAGAGCACAGCGAGTGCAGGGGCTGAGCTCAGCTGGCTCCGGAGCTGGGAGCAACAAAGTCCATTTTCAGCACCCAAAGGGCTTTTCCCAGCTCGCTGGAGTTGGTGTTTAAACAAAGGGCGATTTCCACCCCCTCCAATAGCTACAGCAATTACTTCGATGCACACCGAGCTGTATTTACAGCAGCAGCGTGGAGCAGGGCCAGCCTCCGAGGGGCAGAGGTGATGGGCAGCGAGGCTCGGGATGCAGAGCCTGGGGCTGCTGCTCCTCTCTCCCACCGCGATCCCGCATTTCCCCTTTCACGCTGCCAGCTTAGAACGGAATAAGGCCGGGTTTAAAGCGAGCGTGCCGAGGGCACGGGAAATGAGAGGAGCGAAGCTGAGGCACGAGGGGTGAGAGGCAGCTGCAGCACACACACACACACACACACACACAACATTCCAGCATCCCGGGGCTCAGCAGCGCTGCCAGCGTTCGCTGCCTCTCCGCACGGAGCACACTCGGGCCCTCCCTCCCTCCCCAGGAGGTGCTGCCAGCCCAGAGCTCCCATTTCATTTCCGTAACGCTCCCAGCTCCCAGCCCCGGGCCAGGCCTGGAGCGGGATGTGCTCCAGCGGAGCCCCGACCCCGGCAGCGCTCACACCGCCCTTCCACGGGGGAGCTCAAACACATCCACATCCAACAGCGGTTAACAGTGACCGGCTATGGCTTAACAGCCTGGGAAAACATCGAGTTACTGTCCCTGCAACAGTACAAATGAACCACTCTCGAATTCTTATTTCCTTTGATTCTCCATTTGTGCCACAGAAAGCACGAGGACCTGAGCACGTCTCAAAATACAGAGGATAATTGAGGTACGCATAAAAACCACTTGTCAGCTGCCCTACATAGACATCTACTGTATTTTCAGGAGCTACTACAACAGGAGCAGCCTAAAAACGCTTCCAGATCCCTACGGAAAATGCCTCATGCAGCATTTTACAGCAGACTGTTGGATCATTAAAAATGCTTATAGATAAAATGCATTGTAACCTGGAGATTTCTGTGGCAGCCCAACAAAAAAACAGAGACCTCATAGCTGAGAGGTGCTGCTAATGAAATCACAGATTTCTCACCAGCCAGGAGCTTCAACCAACTGCAGCCGAATTCCAGAGAAGGAGAAAATGGGGGTTTTGAACTATAGAAGGATCAAGGCAAAAGTACAACACTTGGATGAAAAGTTACAGTGGGGGCTGGAGGAATGATTAAATCAAGGCAGAGGATTGCAGAACACAAACCAGAACGAAAGGTTCGAGTCCGTTGTGGTGTCTGAGTGCTGGTAAACAAATTTTGCTCCAGTCAAGAGATGAGGAGCCCAGGGTCCATTAGGAGAGGCAGGAACAGAGCCACGGGAAGCACAAAACCTGCTCGTGGCGTGGAGCCAGCGTTCCAATCATGGGCAAATACAGAACTATGTATCAAAATAAATAATCCCGATGGTAACGCTCCTGGCAGGGTTTAATCGTCCTCTCCCTGCCACAGCCCCGCGCCGCTCGCTCCGCAGAGCCCCCGGACCGCTGTCAGGAGCCAGAACCGCATCATTTCACCCCAACAACCCATTTCTAAACTTCCAGCAACAGCCAGGGCTTCCGAAATAGAGTTTAAAAAGGGCAAAACCGCGGAACAAAACCACGCCGGGGCTCGGCGAGCGGCCCGGAGCCGCAGGGCTGCGGGTACCGCTGGGGACGAGCTCCCGCATCCCCCGGAGCAGCCCCGGGGCCGAGCCCCGCCGCAGCGAGCCCGCCGGGGCCGGGGCTCCTCGGGGATGCTGCGGCAGCCGCGGCGCTCGGTGCTCGCATCCCTCCCGCCCGCAGCCTCCTCCTACCTCAGCACGGCCGTGTCCCCTTTCCTGACCACCAGATTGTCCACGGCAGAGCCCGGGAAGTCTCCGCCCGGCGCGGCGAATCTCCCGGGAGGAAGGAACCAGCAAAGGCCGAGGAAAACGACGGCCAGCCACCGGTGGGAGCCCCCGGCGCCCCGCAGCAGCGGCACCATCTCCGCTCCGCGCCGGCCCCGGCGGCCGAGAGCGAGCGAGCGCGGCTGCTCCCGGGAAGGGCGGCCCCGGCTGGGCTCGGCGGAGCGCGGCTGCTCCCGGGCGGCCGCCGCAGCATCCAGCGAGGAGAGAGGGAGCGCGCCCGCTCCGCTCCGCGCGGCGCCGGGCGGTCCCCGCTGCCAGCCCCGTTGCCACGCAGCCGTCGCCTTGGCAACCGGCCCGGCGGCGGAGGGATGCTCGGCCCTCTGTGCCGGGCCGCCCGCTCCGCCCTCCCCGGCATCCCGGCCCCCCCGAGCCCCGGCCCACCCACCCCGCACGGCGCGGAGCGAGAACCAGCGCCGAGGCTGCCGCGCTGGGAGCGGCACCGGCGGCTCCGGCCAGCGGCCCCTGGGACCCGCTGGAACCTCCAGACCTTTCTGGAACAGAGGGTTCCCACTCTGGCACTCCCATTTCCCAATATTCTACTTAGGAAAAAAAAAAAACAAACCAAGAAAGACTCTAGGCTAGAGAGCTTCACCAAAAAGCAAATAAACCACTGACAGGTTGTTTCCCCAAATTCTACCAGGAAAGCCAGAGACCTTTACCGAGGAGAAAGAAAAATCACCAACGGATCATTTCCTAAAATTGTCCCAAGACATTTGGAGATCTTCACCAAGGAGCTGAAGCCCACTGATCTGTTATTTCCCACAATTCTACCAGGGCATCTAGAGACCTTTGCCAAGGACCTAAAATCCACTGAAAGATTCTTCCGGGATATTTAGAAGCCTTCACCAAGGAACAAAAATCCATTGACAGATTACTTCCCAAAATTCTACCAGGACAGGCAGAGACCTTCACACTAAGGAGGGGTAAACCACCAACATTTTCCCCCAAGATTCCAGCAGGGCATCCGGAGACCCTGCCTGACAGATTCCACAAGAGCATCAAAAGCCTTTCACCAAGGAACATAAATGCACTGACAGATTATTTCCTAAAATTCCACTGGGACACTCAGAGACCTTCAAAAAAGCACAAATCCCCCGGCAGCTGAACTCCCTGTAGACAGCCAGGAATGAGCAGCCTCTTTTCCCCCGGGGTCCTCTCCAGCACACACACACACACACACACACAAACCCTGCCAGGCTGTGGCAAACACACGGAGCAGGGATTCTGTTTGCTGCCTCTGTTTACCCAGACTCCCCTTTCCAGGTTAAACATTCCAGGTTAAACACTTCCCAGGTCCAGCTTTCAGCAGCAGAGCCCCGGCTGCACCTCGCTGGGCTCAGCCGGGGTCCCTGCAGGAATTCCGCTCCCCTGGAGCTGCAGAGAGGCTGCACAGGAACAGGAATTGCAGGGCTGCTCCACTGGGGCTGTTCCCAGAGTGAGTCAGGCACATCTGGCCCACACAATGTCCCGATTGTCCCTCCCACAGCCCCGGCCCCTCTGTGCCACTGTCCCTGTGCCATCATCTCCCTTTCATCCCCTGCCAGGGCGTGCATGGCTCTGTGCGCCCTCCCTCCCCAGCCACAGTTTGCATCAGAAGGATTTGGGAGTGGAATATTCCAATTAAAAGAGACGATAATCAGGATGCTCCCTCCGCTCGCTCCCTCAGCAAACCCAGATCCCCGTTCCTGGAAGCTTCTCCCTTCGGTACCACATCCCCTTAGATGTTTCCAGCTGCCAGGAGGAATTCGAGTGTACACAGAAGGGAATTCTGCCCCTTCTCCTGCAGCACACGGCGCTACAGAGCTTCCTTGGGAAGGAGGGAGAGGGGGAAGAGAGGGGCTGGCAGCACTGCCCAGAGCACTGAACACAATTCCTTTAGCACTGGACACAGGCTCGGGACGGGGCAGCAGCGGCTCCTCACGAGCACAGGCTGAGCACGGAGTGTCAGAAGCGCTTCAGGAACGATTCTGTGCCATCAGGAGCTGCCTGGCCACAGGATGCTGTGCACACAGGCGGAGCTGTCCCACCCCTCAGCTCCCACCAGCACCCACTCAGAGATTCAGTCACCTCCCCCAGGGCCTCTCCAGACCAGGAGCTGCTGGAGGGAACAGCCAAACTCATCCCTCAGAGAACAGCTGGAAACGGAAGGGTCCAAGGCTCCAAGAACCCAGACAGGGCTGTGACAACACAAGGGGACCAGCAAAACCCCCACCCCTGTTCCTCAAGGCTTTCTGCTCCTCCTTCCATCCCCCTGTGGGATGTACCCAAGCTGGATAATTCCATTTACACAGCTCTAACCAAGGGGGGTGTGCCCCAGGAGGGTTCCGAGGCAGCAGAGCGGACTCTCCTCTGGCAGAGCTCTGTGTGGAACACGGTTCCTCCCCTGGCAGACCGGGAAAGCGGGAACAGCTCATCAGATATTTGCCAAATGCACTCACTCCTGAGGCAGAACACTCAGCAAACGCTGGTTTGTGCTCACCAGAGCTCCCACAGCCTGTGGGGGACAGCACCGGAGCTCTGGGAGTCCCACCGAGAGCAGGAGCCACACGGGATTTGGGACCTGGATGGGACAAACTTCACACAGCTGTCACTGAGTGCTCTGCTCCATCCTGGGCTCAGCTCACCCACAGACAGCCAGGGTGGAACAGCCCAGCTCTAACTTCAGAGAGAGCTCTGGAACCTTTCGTGAGTCCAATGATGTTCCTTTGGCTTGACCTTAAACAAATAATTTGCTCCTCTTTGAATGAGCAGGACAAAAGACATCTCCCCAGCACCATTTAGTCACTTAGCAAAAGATCCTACAAATCTCAATCAGCAATAGCAAAGATGAAGCTTTTTATTTGTTCATTTTCAGATTCCCATCTTGCCTTTCCTGTTATCTGCAGATCAATGTTAAAATGAGCAGGTCAGGGGGCAAGAGCAGTTGTGCCAATCAGGGCTGGGCTGGAGACTGAATTATTTCATCTGAATCTGCCCCACCTCCTCCCTAAGCCCAGGAAGAATTTGGGGGGGGGGAAATAAAGAATGAAAGAGGGGAAATCTCACACAAGATGTGTGCACACATAGAAGAAGTGTTTCACAGAATGCCTGAGGTGGAAAAGCCCTCCCAGCCCATGGAGTCCAGGCTGGAGGTGCCCAGCAGTGCCAGCACAGGGGGACAAGCCCAGGGCTGCTGCCCCAGCTCAGGCTCCACTGGCCTTTGGAGCAAACGCTGCCCACGAGGGCAGCAGGACCCTTCAGCTTGTTCTGACTGCATTTGGCTGTTCCAGCACCAGGTCCCTCAAACCCAGCCTGGCTAACGCCATATGATAATTCCTGGTAATTCAGCTGTGTATTTTTGTTTAGAACCATTTCAAAAAGCTAAATTTAGTTGTTGTTTGCAAGTATTCGTTCAACAGTTTGCACAAATACTCAAGACTGATTCCCAGACTTCACACTTGGCTTTTTGCTTCGTTTCCTTCTGTGTGTTTAACTCTCCTGCACCCGTTCCCTCCCGCTGGCGACACAAGATGGAAGTTGGATGACAAAAATAAATTCCAAGAGGCTCAGTGCTTTTGGTCTGTGTCCCAGAGCCAGCATTCCCCTCGGGAACAGATCGTGGGCAACACAGGCAGCGTGGCCCTGGGCTGGCACCTGCCAGTGAGCAGAGCACTGGGACAGTGCCCATCCTGCCAGGACACAGGTTCCTTCCTGCCAGGACACAGTGTCGATCCTGCCAGGACACAGCACTAGGCACAGTGTCCATCCTGCCAGGACACAGGTTCCTTCCTGCCAGGACACAGTGTCGATCCTGCCAGGACACAGCACTAGGCACAGTGTCCATCCTGCCAGGACACAGGTTCCTTCCTGCCAGGACACAGTGTCGATCCTGCCAGGACACAGCACTAGGCACAGTGTCCATCCTGCCAGGACACAGGTTCCTTCCTGCCAGGACACAGTGTCGATCCTGCCAGGACACAGCACTAGGCACAGTGTCCATCCTGCCAGGACACAGGTTCCTTCCTGCCAGGACACAGTGTCGATCCTGCCAGGACACAGCACTAGGCACAGTGTCCATCCTGCCAGGACACAGGTTCCTTCCTGCCAGGACACAGTGTCGATCCTGCCAGGACACAGCACTAGGCACAGTGTCCATCCTGCCAGGACACAGGTTCCTTCCTGCCAGGACACAGTGTCGATCCTGCCAGGACACAGCACTAGGCACAGTGTCCATCCTGCCAGGACACAGGTTCCTTCCTGCCAGGACACAGTGTCGATCCTGCCAGGACACAGCACTAGGCACAGTGTCCATCCTGCCAGGACACAGGTTCCTTCCTGCCAGGACACAGTGTCGATCCTGCCAGGACACAGCACTAGGCACAGTGTCCATCCTGCCAGGACACAGGTTCCTTCCTGCCAGGACACAGTGTCGATCCTGCCAGGACACAGCACTAGGCACAGTGTCCATCCTGCCAGGACACAGGTTCCTTCCTGCCAGGACACAGTGTCGATCCTGCCAGGACACAGCACTAGGCACAGTGTCCATCCTGCCAGGACACAGGTTCCTTCCTGCCAGGACACAGTGTCGATCCTGCCAGGACACAGCACTAGGCACAGTGTCCATCCTGCCAGGACACAGGTTCCTTCCTGCCAGGACACAGCACTGGGCACAGTGTCCATCCTGCCAGGACTCAGCAGCTGCCCCTGGATCCCTGGAGTGTCCCAGGCCAGGCTGGACACTGGGGCTGGAGCAGCCTGGGACAGTGGCATTGTCCCTGCCATGGCTGGGGTGGCACTGGGTGACATTTAAGGTCCCTCCCAGGACAGAGAAGGTGACAGGACAAGGAGGGGACACAGCAAAAACAAAAATCCAAAAGCCCACCCACGCCACACTGAGTTTTAAGAGTTGTGGTTTATGTCCAAATTCACAGAAGCTTCAGAAGGTTTAAATATTTCCACAATGACCAAAGCACAGCAGAATCACAGAGGAAATCAGTAAAGTGCTCCTGGAGGTAAAACCCAGTTTTTAAATATTATTTTAATATCTTAGAGGGGGAAAAAAAGTAATAATTCCAATTAGCCTAGGAATTCTCAGTAA